GGGTACTGCCGGGCAAGTCCCCCCGCACCCGAAAACCCGGGGAGCGCAGGAGCATCCCGCGCGGCGCCCCTTCCAGCCACAGCAAATGCTGATTCTCAGAAAAGAGACGGGTCCCTCCTGACACCCAGCGCCTCAGCAGCTTTGAGGGGAGGCTGCTGCTGCCAGCTTCAACTGAGAAAAGGGTAACCTGGAGCTACCGTTCAAAAATAAAACACCTTCAATAATGAAACTCTTCTGAAAACCACCATCGACAGCGCTCGCTCTTGCCCGGAGAGGCGTTTCACACCAGGACCGAGCTGGTTACTGGGAGATGTGCTGCCGGCTCCGGGAGCCAGCCCGGGACGGAGGAGCAGGACTCGGCAGCCAGAAAACACTGGAAATCGGTATTTATCCTCAGCAGGATTTCAACAACAAAAAGCTTCCAAGCCCTGAATGTGCTGGAGGCCCCCGTGCTGCCAGGGTCCCCGTGTCCGCAGCTCGTTCCTGCAGCATCCACGGCGAAGGACTAGCTACGTGCCCCTCGCCGCCACCTGAGACCTCTGCCAGCCTTGGAAACCGGGTTTCCTTCTCACAGAAACCGCTGCTAAAGGGCTCTTTTCCAACGCCACGGCGCACGTTAGACCTTAAGCCCCCAAGCTTAAGTGGGAATGAATAAATAGCAGCTTTAGAGCCAGAGCTTCCATCTTCTCTTGCAAAGCCTGAGGGCGAGATGAGATCGAGGTCCCCGTGACGATGAGGTGCCGTGGAGGTCCGTGGGAAGCATGGTTACATCTGGCTCGCCTGCTATTGCTGTACGAGCGGGGAGCGGCGCATCCCCGGAGCGGGGCAGGTACCCGAGCAGGGGGTCCGCACCCACCCCGCCGATCCCCACCCCAGCCCATGCCAAAATCCATACGGGCTCCAGCGGCAGCGAGATGTGCTTCGGAGCGCTTCAACGTTTTTACCCGAGCGCGAGCAGAAAATAGTTATGAGGGGGGCGAATATTTATAGGCTTCGGGGCCGAGGGGGGCCACCGCGGTAGTTTCCTCTGCTCTACTGCCTAACACAAGTCAGGGGGGGCCACCGCGGTAGTCTCCTCTGATCTACTGCTGAACACAGGTCAGGGTATTTCACCCTCTCGGTCCTCCGGCGGAGGGAGTCACTCATCCTACAGCTTCCTTTAACACTACCGAGTCCAATAACGTCCTTGAATTAAAGCTTATCTTCCAGGAACCCGTCCAGCCTCCGCTCGAGGACAGCAAACGACGCTGAATTTATCATTTCCTTTGTTAAAGCATTCCGGCGTTTAATTACCCCCGCTGTTACGAAGGCGCGTGCTGTTTCAAATCTGCGTTTCTCTGGCTCAGTTTCCTACTCTCTGCCCAGCGCTGCATACCTCCCCCTCCCCCCCCTCCCCCCCCCCCCCCCGTTAGGAGATCCCCTCCGTAACAGGTACGGTCCCCAAAGGCAGAGATGCAGTGGCTGTACGGGCTCACCTTGCCAGAGGAATAAGGATGCTGCGGTTTCATCGCTGCTTTGACAAAGTACCCGTGCGTTTATTCCTCCCCGAGATGTAACGATAGTTTTGAATTAACACCAGCAAAATGAACTTTTATTTTTGTGGCTGGAATCAGTTAAGTTCTCACTGCAGAGGTTTCGCTGCGAGATAATCCGCCACCACGCGTGGTATGTATTCCGCAGGGAAAATGAAGGCACAAGTGCCTTCAGCTCTCTTTTCACAGGGAAACTCCGCTCGCGTCGGGGGGGGTGGTTGTCACCCGAGCGCATCCTTTGAACGTTTACGCCATTTTCCGTGCTTTTGAAGTCCTAAAAATGTTTTCCTGGAGCGCAAACTTCCTGCCGAGTAGCACGTGGGGAAACGCCAGCTCAAACCCCCGAGTGCTCCTGGGAGCTCCCAGCCCATCAGCCTCGACGCGAGTGGGCTTCCAGTAGAGCTGCAGCCCCCCCCAAACCCCACAAAGCCCGGGGGACCGGCGAGATGAGGCAGCGCAGGCAGGCGAGGGCGCGGGCAGCGCGCTGCCTGGCTTAGAATAGAACAGAATAGGCTATTTTCAGTCGGAAGGGACCTACGACGGGTCACCTCGTCCCGCTGCCCGGAGGGCCCTGGTTATTCCGGCCACGACGATCAGTACAGCTAATTCTGGTCTGGCAACCCAAGGCAAGCGATACTGAATAGGGCGCGCACGCCCCAACGTCACAGGTTTTACGGACGCAGCCCGGCGAGCGAAATGCTGAAGGTCTGGACCAAGCAACGTATTTTCGTAACTGAGTGCTTTTGCCCGTGCGAGCAGCAAACAAACAGGACGAAACCGACCCGAAAGCGTCCCTTCCCCCCCGTAGGGCCAGCTGGGAGGTACCTGCGTGCGCTGCAGGTGCGGTCTAGTCCCCGCGATGCTTTTAACGCCGTCCCTTCACAGCTGGCGTCTTGCCTCTTGGCCACCGCTGCTGTCCAACCTCCCGCGAGGTGTCCCGGAGAAAAGAGCTACCAGGCGATAAACCCGAAGGGTAGAAAAGAGCACGAGGGGTGTACGTCTCCCTGGTTCTTTTTTTATTATGGGTATTAATACTAATGACCGTCCAAGGCTTCTCGATCACTCTTATTATTCGAACACCTGCTCTTCTAACCGTGGGAACGATTGTTATTGGAGAGGGGCCGTTAAAATGGTTAATGGTGCAAATAAATGAGTCTTTCAAACGTCTCTCTCCTTTGCCACCGGTGCCTGGGTAAACAGGCGATTTAAATGCGGTTTCTTTATTTA